TTAGATAAGAGTCTAATTTTTTCACTTAGTAACTTCTAGAAATTTTGTAGTGACCATGAAATATACATTATTTACCGATAAGTTTTTTTAAACAAAAATAAATTGACATAAATCATCATAACTTGTTTGTGAATTGTAGTATAACAAGGAGTAGCGAGATATGAATATTAAAGTTGCAGCATTTCTTTTGGATACAAACTGAAACTAACGAATATCTGGCCAATACTAGAGAGAAAAAAGAGAAGATATGCCTCGCTAGGCGCGAGCGTCCTGTTTCTCGGCTATTACAAAAGAAACTCAATTTCAATGTTGGGACGAGGCCAAATATATAAGCATGCGCCAATTAACGGAATTCAGTTCGCTCGTGGCAATGCGTTCAACTAGGTACTCGACTGACCAAGTTTCATGCAGTCATAGAATAGTTATCAACATGTTTAGTAGGGCGTGATAAAAAAAACAATATAGAAAAATACATGTTTGGAGGAAGGCCAAAAAAAGCAGTCACGTATCTTTGTGCAATTTTTTTTTCAATTTGGCGACTAAATAAATAAGGTAGATACCTATATTCTATAAATAAATTTCTTTACATTATTAATTATCGCATAATTGTCAGTTTCGCATGATTAAAGATCAACATATAAAGTTCGATAAAATAACTGTTACGACTTATTCTAAAAAAATTTAAATAAATTCCAAAAACGTATTTAAAATATTAAATAAAAAATAGAGGTTAAAAGAAGTTATTTAAAATAATAAATACTGAATAACTGCTTTATTTTTATTTAATTTTGATATACATTTTAAATGAAACTTTTTTTTTAAACATGACCGATCCCTGATACACCTTATTTAGAATAAAAAAATATAAGTTCTAGAAACTTATTAGGTGTTGGAATTAATTCGTAGCGTTTTACAAGTGATGGGAAGTACTTTCATTAATGTATTTTTTAATGCTCATGTGAAATAAATAACATTCTTTCATTAAAAAACGCTACGAATTAATTCCAACACCTAATATTTAAAATATAAAAACATTGGAGCCGATAAAAAACTAGGAGGAGGTTTGCCTACAAATCGATTGTCTACAATATCATTTGTCTACATCACTTTTGCCGACAGTTCGTTTGCACACAAAAATTGTTGCCTACAGCTCGATTGCCTACATGCACACTATTCTCTGCTTTAAAAACACAAATTCTGTTTTAAAACACAAATTATCTGCTTTAAAAATATAAATTATTTTCTTACTTAACCTTAATTTTATATATGTGCGCAAAAATGCTTGTAAGCAAACAAGCTGTAGATAATAATTCCTATAGACAATAATACAGATAGGCAAAATGACTTCATTTCTGAAATTTTTATTTGTACGCAAAAATGTATGTAGGCAATCGAACTGTAGGCAATAATTTTTGTGCGCAAACGAATTATCATTGAAAGTGATATAGGTAAACGATGCTGTAGACAATCGTTCGTAGGCGCCATTTTCTAAAAAACTGTATGACTTATTTAAAATAAAAAAGGTTCCGAAAACTTATTTGCACCCAGAAAAAAGTTTTTTTGATTTATTGAAAAAAAAATTTGCTTGAATCAAAGAAATTTGTGCTATACGGTTAAAAAAATATTCTTTGATTTGAATGGCATTTCTTTAAATTTTTATTTTCCTCAAAGATATTGTCTTCGACTTAAAAAAAACAACGAAAGAAATGATTTCTTCAATTTAAACATAATTTTTCCTTGAGTTAAAAATATTAAATAAGAATTAAATAGTCAGAAGAAATTATTTAAAATAATAAATATTAAATAACTTTTTTATTTTTTTATTTAAAATATATGTTTTAAATAATTTTATTTTAAATATAATCGCGAGCCCTCTAGCCCAACGTACATTATTATTGCAGCAATGTCGATTATTATAGATTAAATAAAACAACATTGTTCAGTATAAAATTATTTTTAAAATTGTTTTATAGCCGATTTGTACATCATTATATGTCATACATTTACAACAATTAACACGACACTGTAGGAATTTTACTACACATCACGTACGTAAGCTTATCTTTATGCATAACGTAACAAAAACATTACTTTCCTTACAGATACCGTCAACCGTCTTCATCAACCGTCCTCAGTCTCGTCTATTGCCGGCACGTTCAACAGGTGATCTCTCTAGTCATTGAAATTAATTAATTAATTAATTAATCAATTAATTAGATTCTTGAATGTATAATTTTGAGTTCTTACAATATTTCTTTTTGTATAGAATACACAAATTGTTTTATTTAGAAAATTCTTTTGTTTTCTTTTTTCTTTTATTCAAATTTATTATTGCCCAATAATCCATTTCAGTTTTATCAAATTTTATTTTTAAAATATTCTATAGAATATAAAAAACAATATTTTACAAAACATAAGAAATAAAAACATTCTTTTATTTTGAAACACAGCTTCAAAGCAGTGTTAGACAAAATTAAAAATTAATGATTACGGTTAAAAATTTAATTTTTGATTATAATAAACAATTAAAATTTTTTAGTTGCCTTCAAAATCTTAAGTATTAATCAATTAAATTTTTAATTTGCAATTTTAATCGATTAAAAAGTCATTACATGTAACTGTGATTAATTTAATCGATCAATTAACAATCATTATTTGCTGTAAATTAAAAAAATCAATCGTTAATTATTAATCATTTGTGTTTTGTTAAGCACAGATTAAATCTACTTAATTAGTTTAACATTTTTTTCGGTAAAAAGAAATTTTTCACGTATTGTACGTTTTAAATATTTACATAAAAACGAAATAATTATTATATATAAACTATTATATCACATAAAAGAAAAAAACTTAAATAGACTATTAACTGTTAAGGTATCAGAACCGAATAAATTTTGTTAAATCCTGATATTGGGCTTTATTACATGAATGTATAATAATATATCAAATTAAAAGTAAATTAAAAATAACAGAAAGTAAACGTAAAGTTTTAAAATTATTAATCATAGAAAATAAATTCCGTAGGACTTACTCTACTCTCAAATATTACAATTATCTTTAATTTTATTTATAATTAACTCTTTAATCTTTGGAAATTTCTAGCTATTTGAATTTTATATTTTGACTTCTTAAAAGATAGCATTGAAAATTGTTATTCTCTGGCGTAAATTCCACACATAACGAACAAATAATAACAGCTATAATAATAATCATCATATAAGTAGGTCTTATTTAATAAGTATATTGTTTTAAAAAAAGTATATAATTATTTCAAAAAATTGATTTATTAATTATTTTCCAGTTAGGAAGTTGAATAATATTATAATAAATTATAAAACATTATATACTGGTAAATTTTGCAGCGAATTGTTATAACAATGGCTCATATACACAAGTTTTTGTTGTGTTAAACATATAAACAAACATATTGCTACCGATTCCAAATTTTTAATCCCTTTTCATCTACTGTGATACATCTTTTAAGCATATACTGCAGGCTTAAAGCGAATTTTAAAGTAATAAATTTATTTAGTGCTGGGCTTTTTATTGAGATCAAGTATCTTATTTGATGTGTTGAAGAACATAATTGCGAACATCTGAGCGTTGTTACGATGAATCATCACAGTGTAATGAATTGTTACAAAATAAGCTAAGAAAATAAGTTAAGAAATATAAACAGCTGTGTGATACTTTGTAGAGTTAACTCATCTCAGTATGATTCGTATATTCGTACTGGTAACATACACCTAAGATCGAAAAACATTATAAAATGAAAAATAACAAATAATTTCTAAATATTCCTTTAATTTTTCTTTTTTTATTTATTTTTTATTTTGTTGTAAGTGTTGTATATACCAGAGGATTCGGTATATACACCGGTATATATACCGCACTTACAACAAAAATTTAATTTATTAAGTATTATTTACTATTTTTAACATAAATGGACTATGTCAGTAGAAACTTTGTACTATCTACTACTATGAAAAAAATATTAAAAATCCGAAATATTTATTTTTTGTATTAAAAAAAAAGAACTTTTTGAAACTATTGATAATTTGAATAGCTTTCCGATATGACAAATACGTTCTTTAATAGATTATAAATCCAGATAGCAAAGTGTCTCAGCACAAATTTGTGATTATTTATGATGTTGGCAACTTGATGCAACCATGGAAAAGAATCATCGGATCATTTGTATCCGTTCTTTTTTCACAGTTAATATAATTTACTATTTTACTATTAATAGGCGCATCTCAAAACTAACATTAGTAAGCGTGGTCATTTTGATCGAAATATATTCTTGCGCACATACACACACACATACACACACACACACACACACACACACACACACATATGTTATAACTCGGATACATATATGATTATAATTACTATAATATAAGTAATAATTAATAAGAAAAAATGTTTTGATAATGCTTTATATTAATCAATTAAAAACAAAGAAACGTAATAATTACTGGAAATAATTATATTTATATGATATTTTAATTTTAATTTTACCTTTTTTTATTTGTTAAAATTATTGATATGTAACAAAATAATAAGAAAATTATAATAATTTTACTTTTTATTTATAAAAATATAATAATGACAGAGGCTGGCGAAGACAAGAAATACTACGTAAGCGCGCACTACGGTTTTTTAGACGTTACAAATATATCAAATTTTATATAGATAAGCGTGTTTACGTCATCTATTTTCGCATACTATATGAAAAAACATACATTAACAAACATTTACGTAAAGATAAAAATATAATAGTATTTGTCATCAATAAAAGATATAAATTAAAAAATATAAATAAAAGATAGAAGAGTACAGCAAAATAATCACTCCCGAGTTAAACGCTAAAGAAGACTAAATCTAGGATTGAAATATGTATGTCGCAGCTTTTTTGCAAAATTAATCTTTTCATAAAGGCTAACTTTTAGCCTCTTAACCGCAAAACGGCATTTTTTTGGCATAACCGCCCCAAACCAATCAGCACTAATCTATACTTATCTCTAATGTCTACCAGATAATGATTGTATTACATAACAGATGATGATTGTATTACGTAGTAATACTTTAATCAACTTTAATGCTCCATATCTCGCTTCGCAGAGCAGTCCCGGACATTTTTCTAACAATTTAATCAACTTTAACGCTCTACATCTCGCTTCGCAGAGCAGTTCCGGACATTTTTCAGATTCTTTAATTTTACACAAAAACGCATCGAATGAGCCTAATTTCACCGAAATTGGAGGTAAGCTCTTCTGAAGAATTAGCAAATTTGTTTTTATTTGATAGTTACTATTATTGTTCTAGATTGATTAATAATACACATTTTACAAAAAGGCTAACGAAATATTTAGCTTTTTTGCGTAAAGCCTAGAATTTACGTAAAAAGGCTAGACGATTCGTTAGCCTTTTTGCAGAATATGTATCATTAACCAATAAAGCTGATGTGAGTTAGTCTTTTCGCGAAAAGCCTAAGTGCTTCAACCTACTTGAGAAACTATTGTTAATTTTGCAAAAAGGCGCCGTTTTGCAAAATCTGAAAAAGAATTTTGCATAAAGGCTTGCCTTTTCATGAAAAGGCTAATTTCGCAAAAAGGCTGCGACATATAAGATAAATAGGTCACGAATTATATGTATAAATTGTTTACAAACTGTATTTCTAAATCGCTCTCGTAAATATATAAATTCACGCTCTAATAATCGTAAAGGCAATTTAGTTCTGTATAAACAATAAAGTTATGTATATATATTTCGACTCACATTTAAGCCAGTTCGATAACGGTTGCATGACATGAGTAATCAAAGTCTCAATACTATAGTATAAATAAAACGTAATAAATGTCATATATGGAAATTAAAAATACAGTCAAAGAGTAAAAAATAATAATGTAGTAATATTGTAATAAGATTAAAAATAAAACGCTTATATAAAAGACACTCATATTTTATAGCAATAATCAACTAAATAGCGATACATCAACTAAATAATAGAGAAGCATCACTTACGATTCAAAATTATATGTTAAACTAATATATATACATGCAGGGAATGGAAGTAACTTATTATTGTAACTTATTACTGCGGTTACTTAGTTACTTAGTTATCTTATTGTAATAACGATTTGGTAATGCTGTTACATATTTTTTTTTATGATAATATATTATCAGAGTTGGAACAGTCAATAATTACTTATAATTGATTGGAAAAGTCATTCGTTACTAAAAAAAATAACTCGCAGTTTGTAATTTATTTTTTAATGTAACTTGTAACAGAGTAAATTTACGTTACTCGTTATTTATTCACACAAAAAAATAAATTCTTAAAGAAATGCATAAATCTTTAATCCAAGAATATTTTATGCTTAGAATAGCGTCAAGAATAAACATTTTCCAATTAACAATAAATTATTCGTAAATTAAAATAACTCTGCGTAACTAAATAATTGATTTTATTAGAATTATATAATAATTTTAGAAACAAGAATACAATATACTTTGCATAAATCTATTTATTATTGATGCCAATGAATATTTATAATTGAAAAGAATATTTTATACTTAAATGAAAATAAACAGTATTCAAGAATAAAAATGTACATAAATCAGGAATTCATTTTTTTCTGTGTGACTTTTTTCAGTAAATAACACGTAATGACAATCTTTTGACCTTTCAAAGTGACTTCCCTAATTTTAGCGTCACCGCACTCAAAGAAAAATTTCTTCGATTCAAAAAAATATTTCTTTGCTGTACGGTTAAAGAAAAAATTTCTTTAATTTGAACGTAATACCAAAATTTATTTGATTTCAATGATTGAAAAAATAATGTTTAAATCAAAGAAATAATATTCAAATTAAAGAAATTTTTTAATTAAAATAATCAAATAAATTTTTTTATTTGATTTCAAAAAATAATGTTCAAATCCAAGAAATGACGTTTAAATTAAAGAAATTTTTTTTTAACCGTATAACAAAGAAACATTTTTTTAAATCAAAAAACCTTTTTCTGAATGCACACGCGTTTAATTAATTATCACTATCATCATAAAAAAATTATGATATCATTAGCAATCTATTCGTAACGCTTTTTAAACTTTTACGAATTATCTTCAAAGATATCAGAAGATTTGCGAATTATCATTGCCGTGTTTTCATTGCTAATGCTAAGGTTTCGTAAACCTTGTTGTTCATTTTATTAAAAATAGTATACTAATACTGAGCTGCTCCTCCAGAAAACTTCATTTATGTAGAAAATTATTATAAAAAGTAACTGTAAAAGTAACGAAAAAGTAACTCTTCCATTTCCTATACATATGTATTCTTATAAATAAATTTAACTCAGAACATATAATTGCGCAATTACTTTAGGACTTTCAATTAGGAATCTGTGCGGAAGAGAACAAATTTTCGATATAAAACAAAATACGTAATACCAATATGATGATATGATAATTGAAATGATTACGAAATATCAAAGTCTGTTCCTTCACACATAATTGTCGCCTCTCTTTAATTTTCCTACTTTTTTTTGGTTGTATGTTCCAAAATTCGCTGCTAGTATTGAAAATCTATACTGCACGTATACTTACTGCACATCTATACTGCACATAAACTTAAATAGTCTTTTAATGTTGGCTGCTGATAGACTATGATAGACTGATAGTGAATTTTGGAAACAGCGTTTGTATCGAATTAACTGATATCTAGGTTTTAAATCTGATATGCTACAATACGATGTGACCATAGTCCACCAACCTACCTTAGGACTTTGCCTCTAAGATAAGAATAGAAGTGAGACTAGATTCTATT